AAATTTCCTTCCCTCTTCCCCATCTTCAAATCAATGATCTTTTCCTCTAAATATAATCTGTGTTAGATGAAGGTCGGTCTATCTGTCTGTCTGTCATAAACTAAAAAGAACAAATAAATTACCTGAAGGTAAGAAATAGGCCAATATCAATACTGGAAAAGCAAAATCTATAAAACTGTAGTACAGTGGTGAGGGTATGTGGCTTTCCAGATGTTTTTCAGGTAAGTCACTGACACATCTGGAGATACATGCAAGAATAACAAAAGCAGTGAGCAGACAATGCTATGGAATCATGCACGCAAAGGCCATGTTACAGATACAATTTATTCCTCTGTTGTGTGAGGAGGATGAAGGGAGAACAATTTCAAAACAAAACTCTTTAAATATGCCCCTTCTAGAACTTCATAATTTAGAACAATTGCATCCAAGACTGCAGAGTAGAACTAGTATAGAAAAAAAGATAATCTGGAAATAATACAATGCAATTAGTCATTTAGCCCTTTATATTTATAAACAGGAGAGTGCCAAAGTTGCTTTTTTGGTAGGAACAGTTATCTCCAAATTTGGAGGCACTTAATTAAATGAATGACTTGTATAAAGTGAACATCTTTCTGCTTTACTCTGCTCTGCAAATGATTTATTTGAAGTGCATCACAATTTAGTTGATTCCTGTGGCTGAGAATAGACAGTTGATTAATCTGAAGATTAATGGAATACACATGATCCAGTCTGCTTGTTAGTGCAATCAGTTCTGCAATTCTAATCTGCTTTGAAGTTCTGTCTCTCACTTTGTTATTACCAAGCCAATATGTCTGTCTATTTTCCAAAGCTATTGGTCAGAAATATAAGCATTTGTTGGGAAATCACAATTGTTGCAATCCACTGAAACCACTGGGCCTACATATTTTGTTAGATTGGGGCCTAAAATTTCCTAATTTGAGCTAGAGTGCTGGACCATACCAACATATTTTACAGAATAAATCTTGCTTTCCAGAGCAGCTATACAATATAACAAATAACAATATATGGGCACTTTCACAGTTTGTGAGGAAATAATTTTTCCCACTTAGCATTGCAAATCATTTTAGATTTTTTATCCATGTGTGAGACACTAGAAAACAATTAATATTATGGAGTAAAGTTGATTGTGATGTATTTATTTGGAGTGGATGTCAATGAGACTTTAATGAGACAAGTCTACTGAGGATCCTGAATATGCAGTAGAGTGGCTACCCCGTGCTGATGAGGTGTGATGGCTAATGTTGTTTGAGCTAGCTAGATCAAAGCTAGCTTAGGTATGGTACATCTCTGATTGCAATGTTGGCATACTGACAGTGTTAGTGGGAGATTACTCAGTAAGGCCCAATTTCTTTTTACATCCTCTGCGGATGCTTTGGACATCTGTTCCATTCTTGGCCTTTTTGCTGAATCTCACAAGAAAAGTGACAACGACTCCCTGCTGTGGTGGGGTTTTCTGTAATGTAGGACACCCGTTCACTAGGAACTTGGCTGACAGCAATGAATTGAGTGACATGATTCCTGTGAGCGAAAGCCCAGCATTGAATAAGAAGGTTATACTCTGTCCCTTTTCGTTTTACCATTGGATTGACCCTGCTCATGCAAACCTTGACTTCAGTTTTGTGAGTAAAGTTAAAGTCCCCCACCTGTTTGCAAGAGCAAGGCTATACATGGCACGATAGTCTCCAAAAATGGAAATAACATTTTCAAAGTAAAATAAATTAATTGCATTTTTGCAAGGTAAGCTGACGATTAAGGATGATGATCATAGATATAGGGACAGCTAAAATACAAGCAGTTTGGCAGGATCAAAATAATCAATATACTGGATTTAAATCTGCTTTTCTTTATTCAACTGATCCTTGAAAAGTTTACCAATAGGCTTGAAATGTTATCATTTGGTTATCTGTGATGAAGAATAAAAGCATTTTCACTCTGAATTCATTTGAATACCCCACCCCAGTTTAATTCCAGAATTTTTCATTTTTTGTTATTTCTTGGCAATTGAGAGTCAAAATTATTTTCTTGACAACATACATGTAAATAATTCTTCATCTCATTGACACCGTATTTTATTGCTTATTAGTGCTCTGTTCCCGGTATTAACCGTTTATTCTCAGAAAATAAAGAACATTGAAGATAAAAACGACATGCCATCCACTCTGGACTCAGAAAACACACTAGAAAAAAAAAGCTCAGTGAGTCATATTTTGGACACACCAACCTTAACACCATCTCTGACATTTATTTCCACTTTAAGAATTCTAGTATTTGATGGGAGAGGGGGAAATGGAAAGTACAGAAGAAATATTTTGAGAAAAACTGAGGGATATCCCTAAACATCAGGACAGAAGAGGAATATATTGAGTGTGTATGCATAGTGTTGTAATAGTTGGCAGCTAGGAATGCTAGGTGACTCTTAACTGTGGCAAAGTGGCCAGAGAGAACTGTTTCCACAATGCCCTTAAGTACCTCCTAAATAAAGGAAAAATTGATTTTAATTTTTTTTCCTACTCACTTGCTGCCAGAAAAGTTATGTAGACCCTGACTGATGGCCTACAGAGCTGAGAGAGAGTACATTAGGGTGGTCATTCCAAATGCAACATTTACTTTTTATCTTCATATATTTTCATTCCTCTTCTTGTGCATCCTTATAGTTCTGGTATATTATTGGTGTGTTTACAGATACTGTAGTTACTATAATATAAGGCACTTTCATATATTTTTGTCTTTTAAAGTGATATGCTAGGCTAGTCATTTTTTAATTATAATCTGTGTACCTGAAATATACACAATTCTCTTGATGTTCATTGAGGGCTATGACTTACTCATTTGCTTTAAAATGAACAACAGCAAAAAGAACAGCTCTGTACGACAAGCTTCTGAAAGGAACCTGGCTGGTGAGCAGGGAATGCACTCACAGATTGCATTCATTTGTTTACATTTACTGATACCATCAGGCTACTCCTCATGAGATTAGTTGCTAACAGCCCTCAGTTGAACTGTGAGCTTATTAGATGAGTTCTGTATTTTTAAGTCTCCTTGCTTGCTGAACCAGTTCATTAAAACACAAATAAACTCTTTACATTAGGACATTGGCTCCTTTTGGACACTGTTTACATTTTGCCTTTATCTTATGGCACTCAAACAGTCTGTTCAGTTCAAGTCTGCTCTTGAACTTGAGAACCTCTGAGCAGGGCAGCCAAGTGTCCCTCATATCAAGGAAGAGTTATTTATTTCAAGGAAGCCAGGAAGTATTTTTCTCTCTCTCTTTCTGTCATGCATTTGGGCTTTTGAGAACATTCTAGAAATTTAGAAAAGAGTTGTACAGGTTTCTTGAAACTTAAACACAATCACCCCAAATGGACCATAAATATTGGTTTATTCCACTGTGCCTGTATCAATATTATAAAGTGAACGGGGCCTGATCCAAACCCAGCTGGTCAATGAAAAAACTTTCACTTTGAGTAGGACTTGAGTTACCCCCCTTAGAGATAAGAGTAATTCCCAGTAAGTCCAGGTAGCTTCTGTGGGACAGACTTAGGATATGGAGGGCACCCAAATTAGGTTTCTTCCTGCTAAGAGACCACTACCATAAACCATTTGTCAGCCAGCAGAAAACAAGATGCATAGAGAACAGCTACCAACTGTTGTTTGAGAAAGAATGGCTAAATGAGTTGATCCAGGTAATAGGAGAAATAGGCACGGATTTTTAATGGTGTTCAGGCATTGTTTTGCTCAGTGTTGCTAGGACTAAGGTCTAGATTTACAAAGGTAATTAGGTTCCTACGTCCTGGGTTTAGGCACCTTGGTCTGGGTCGACACACCCAAATCACAGTATTAGGTTCCACAGCTACTCACAGAATTCTCACTGAATCCTGTAGGCACCTAAACTCAAACTAAATTTTTGCAGTAAAAAGTTCTTTCGACATCTAGTTTGTGCCTGTGAGCATACACGCTGCTGTCTCCCTCTAGGCATCTGTGTGCGTATCTCCTGGCTAAGCAGGGCAACCAGATGTCTGGCTATTATTGGGGCCATCCTGATATTAGACTTTGCCTTATATACACAACTATACTCTGTCCTCATCCCTGGAAAAAAAAAAGTGTTTCGTTTTTTCATACTTGCCAGGCTGCCTACAGACAGTGGTGGTGGGGGTGGGAAAAGGAGCAGCTGTCCCATGGCCCAACAATTTAAAAAGGCCTGTGACTCCTGGCCACTGCCGCCACTACTATAGCAGTGGTAGTGGTAGGGCTGGCTGGGGGAAGATAGATTCCAGCCCAGTTCCTCCATCTGAGTCCCTGCCCCTTCTGTGGGCCCGGGCCCAGCTACTGCCCACCTTGTCCCTGGGTCTGACAATTCTGTTGGCAGTCCTGATGCTTGCTATCTGGTCACTCAATAGCTAAGTCCCAGAGTTGGGGTCTCAAACTCAATTTACCTTAGAGACTGAGCTGGTCCTCAAATCCTGAGGCAGGGCTCTGGGTGTGTGTGTCTCCATGAATTCACCCTCCCCCATGCATCTCTCAGCCCACCTACCACCCCTGGGTGACTTAACACTCCCAGTGGCCTCTGGTAGTACTGCGGGGCTAGAGAGGCTTCTGGCTGCTAGCTCTGTGCCACTGCTAGCACATCCCTGCGCCTGGGGGAAATGTGTGCAGAGACACCATTTCCATAGGAAGATTCAGTGCAACTCCCTTGGGCCCTGTGCTTTGGGTGGCCCCACAGCAGTCGTCACAACCATCCTATGGACAGGATGGTCCCCCATACTCAGGTTGGCCTGGCTGGGCTGGGGCTGGCAGCAGGGCCTCCACACACACTGGCGGGAGCTGTGTGGAAGCGGAACTACATAGAAGCCTGCTCCGCTTTACCGCTATCTCCCACACCAGCCCACAGCGTGACTGGGGCACTCCATTTTTCACCACTGCAGTGAAGCAGAGCAACCCCACTGGCCTGGGAGATAGCAGCAGAGCAGAGGCTGCTGTGTCATTCCACTTCCCTGCAGCGCCTGCGGCTGCAGTGAATACGGGGAGACCTGACTCATGCTGCCATCCTGCATCAGGCTCCCCAGCAATCCCCAGCAGTGGAACTGCTCCGGCTGCAGATGGCCTGTAGGCCATGAGTTTGAGACCCCTGCCCAAGAGCGATTGCAGCCAGGAAGAATAGAATTTCATCACCCCAACCTGCATGTGCAGTCTGATCTGGCATATATGCTTAGGGCACCCCTGTCAGATCTGCCCCCAGGCTCGTCACACAAAACAGATAATCATTGGGTATGTGGAGGATAGAGAAGGAAGACCATCTGCCTCATAACTTTTACCCAGTGGTTAGGGTACTTACCTGGGATTTGGGAGAGTCTGGGCTTAAGGACCCCTCCTCCTGATGAGAAGTGATTTGAACAGGGATCTGCCGCCTTTCGAGTGAGTATGAATATGGAGCATTCCGATGTCAGATTCCCTCACTCTCTCCTGTTGAAAGTATGCCACTGTGAATAAATAATTAGCCATTGCAGCAGAGGAACTGGATCCCGTATCTCCCACCTTGCAGGCAGGTGCTCTCTCAGTAGGCTATAGTCATTCTCGTGCTTGTGCACGTGCTCTTCTCTAGCCTCCTGACTCTTGCTTTAGTTAAAAACTCTTGTATTTTGTACCTTGATGTGGCTAGTTGGGGTCAACCTGGGATTTATCTCTGCTAGCTACACTGAGCGAATGACAATCTGTGCCGTTGTCTCTGCTAGGATTTTGGAGTGAGATCTCTCCTGGGTTAGGTATTGCTATGGAAAAATCAATTGTTTTCCCCCTGGAAAAGATACAGTTTTAGTTTCTAATGGGACGTGGGATGCTAAGAGCCCTGCTAGTGAATCTTTCCAACCGGATGTGCTGAATCCCTGAACTACCTCCTCTCCCCTGCCAATCCCTGGCCATGTACTCCTCATAGCCAGTACTGCTGGCCCCTTCTGAAGCCCTACATCTCAACCAGGCAGATTTTCTCAGTGCCCCATCTGTAAAAGGGGGATAATAGCACTTCACTATTTCACAGGAGTGTTATGAGGATAAATGATTTAAGATTGTGATGGTATGGTAATGGGGCATTGCTGGCCACCAAATCACCAGGCAGACTTTTCCACCACCTAAAGTCCCATCAAAGCTGGATTAAACTAGAGGTGAATGCAATTCTTTAGTCTAGAAGTGACACAGTAAGATAAAAGTAGATATTATGGTAAAGACTCTAAACATGATGTTTTCTTTCCATTGCTCTGTATATACTTTACACGGCTATCAATTTTGGTCTGCTTGTATTATGAAATGTCTGAGTTTTGGTTAAAACAATCCCCACAATTCAAAGTGAAACTGTCAAATTCTCTCTATTTCACTTGGTTTTGATTTGACACTGCACATTTCCCATGGCTCTTTCAACTGTAAACCATAACTCCAGTTTGTTTGAGGTAGGGCCCAGGTTGACTCAATAGTTTTGCAAACATTTGCAAACCTATCCCCAGAGCTGAGTTTCAAGTTTGCAATGAAACCTGAATCCTGGCAAGTTCTGTGTGGTTTTGGGTTTCATTGCAAACATTTAGGCAATGTAATAAAGTTATGCATTACCCCCTTATTCCCTAGAACAATCTAATAATCATTTTTCTCAGTTCTCCTGTTTTGGTGCCCCAACAACACACCAATATTATTTTGCAGTTTAAAAGCTGGTTATATATATTGCCCATCAGATAAAATATTTGTGCCACTTTTCAAACTATCACTATTCATTCTTGGCAATTGGACTTTAATCAGTGTCACACTTACTAAGATTTTAGTAAACAGAACAAAAAAATCTTTGTTGTTTTTTTCTCTTGACATAAACAGAGAAACCCAAATGTAATTATTTTTTGTTTACAAGTAAGCGTCATGTTAAACTGAGGCCCAGTTGATTAGATGTGGATGTATAATCTCCTTCCCTCTGTGCCAGATTTCATATTTGTGTTCAAATGGCTGTTGTCCATTGTTTCTGTAGATTGGTATGAAGCTTAATTACGCAGAGATTTTCCTCCCCCTTCCAGGAGGCTGAGATCTTTAGGCTGTGCATTTCAAGCCATCAAAGTCTGACCCAAGTGTAGGAACCAGTCCAGATCTAAAGAATGAAAATCAAACATCAGTCTCCAGAATGTAATGGTCTTTATCAATTATCCTGTAGTGCAAAGTTACTCATAAGCTTACAGTATGCAAGGAGGTTTCTAAAAATTTTAGTTTTGCGAGAGAAAGATCTTGTTCTTCATTTCAATTCTTTTTTGTACCATTTAAGTGAAACAGGCCATTAATGTGCATAAATAATTGGAAGGAAAATCAATGCATACAAACATAAAGCAAGTGTACTCCAATCCATGAATTGATGTACTTGGTACTTGGCTTTCATATCCTTGGAGGCAAATCAGGAATTCTTGGTTGACGCTAGTTTAGAACTTTAGATGACATGTTTTGAGCAGAAGGCAGTATAGATTTACTACTAAATTGAATTTTTTTGGAAGAAAGCACAAGAGCTTGGTTTACTAGCAATTACCTAAAACAGCAGTTAAGTAAACAGAATCCGACATGTGCAGTAATGCTGCCTGAATTGTTTTACCATGTTATTAACAAAGGGATTATAGGAGCACAGGGGTTGCCATACCAGATGTGATTATTCATTGGTCTGTCTAGTCTGAGATCCTGCCTCCAGCTGTGGTGCCCAATACCTGATGTGACACAGGGAGGTCTCTGTGAAACACATTAATGATCGCACAATGCTATTCAGTGGGTGGGAATAATTTTGAAGCTTTTGAAGGCAGTCTGTTTATGCCCAGAAGCATGAAATTTAGAGACTTATGTATTGTATAATTACTTTTGAGTGGTGGTTATGGTCATAAAATGATCTGATCCTTTTTAAAACCCAACCACAGTATTTGTCACAATGCGAACCTCGGGCAGTGAATTCTACAGGTTGAGTGCACATATGTGCTCTGAAAAGAATTAATTATACAGGCATACTCTTGTTCTTTATCATCATTTTATAGTACATCACAGGAAATCTTACAAAAATACCCATACTCCACAGTTTACAGCTGAGCCCTGTATAGGACTATTTTTGGTTTAATTTCACTCCTGTCCTGCCCAGCAGTACCCACTTACCTACCTGCATTGTTCCTTGCATTTTTATCTTGTTTTCACTCACAAACCTTTAGATACCGCAAATCCTGCAAGAGAGACAGATTTCCCTTATACTACTTACAAAAACAAATAAAAACCAACAAAGGGGTTGGTTAATATATAAAATTTTTACTGCTAAAGAATAAAATAAATCCTGTTTAAACCATATAACAAATACTCTAATTCCTGTTTATAATAGGAATCAGATCTCTTTCTAGCCTTTGCATAAATTAAAATATTAAAACCTTTATTTAAATAAAAGTTGCTTTACATTGCTGAAATCCTATTTATTACAAAGTTACAAGAAATTTAATGTTTTACTGAAAAATTGCCACAGGCTTTTTTATTTTTGCCCACTCAAGTTTGCCTGCAATAAAGTACATTTTACCCATTCTTGCTATTATGGCTGTAGGTCCTGTAGGAGCTGCAGGGTCTCAGTTCTGCTGCAGGGCTCTAGCTCAGTGTTTCTCAACCTTTTTTTATAAAGTACCCCCGTTAAAATAAAAAGTACCCCCTGTACCTACAGTTTTCAGACACACATTTTTTTTCTACTTTTGCAACACATTTGTTTAAACTACTTAATTGTAGTTGGGCGGGTGAGGAAATTTTTGGGTGTAAAAAGTACAAAAATAATATAGCATTGTAAAACTTAAAACAAAAATTCAGTTTTCTCCAAATTTCAGTTGTATTGATGTACCCCCCAGACTTTTCTCAAGTACCCCTAAAGGTACTTGTATCACTGGTTGAGAAACACTGCTCTAGCTAACGGTTCCCATGTTAGATGTGTCTCAGTATGCAGCATACAAACAGCAGGGAATGAGGAAAAACAAAGGCTACAGAATATGATTTTACAGTTTGTTGGAATTTTGGAATTGCTATGCCAGGTCAGACTAGTGGTCCATCAACTTCAGTATCTTGTCATCAATTTGTCCAGGACTGCCTGCCTCAGAGGAAGCTGCAAGAGCCCCGCAGTAAATAAATATGGGATCACCTGCTCCCAGGTAAAGTTTCATCTGAAGAAGTGAGTTGTATCCATGAATGCTCATGATACCATCTACATGTTTTGTTAGTCTTTAAGGTGCTGCTAGACTATTCATTGTTCTTTAAGTTTTTCCTAACCCACATTGATTAGTCATTGAATTATGCCATAAGGCATCAAATTAACCTTGAGGAGAGAGAGTGACAGTTGCAGTGGAAATGGGCAATCAATACCCTACACACAACAAATATCTACTTCTATCTTCTGTTGGTGGTAAAACATATACACCCAAATATCAGCACTTATTACCTTAAATGAAGGGGAAAAAATCGTTGCATCTTATTGTTGCACTTCTGTTTTAATGAAGAAGCTGAAGATTTCACGGTGCTATATTTAAGATCTTGTTTCATGATAGCTAATACATTTTTCTGCCTTCATTTATATTTGCTTTGAGTCAACGGATTTGTAATTTTGAAAATTGTATTCAACTCCATATTTGTAGTACTCAGCCTGACTTGAAGTGCAGGCTTCTCAAAGGAGTCACACAATCTTTAAATGAAAATATCTCTGTCTGCAGTGTTGTCCTGCAAGTTCTTTCTCTAGACGGCTGCATAACTGAAGTAGTTTGAGTTCTGAATAGTTCATTTAACACCCTGAACTTCAGTGCCAAGGTGTTTGTCAGGTCCCATCCTCAGCTATTTTTGTAAGGATTAGAGATGAGCAACTCCTAACATTTATAGGACTGATATATTCACTGTTCTTATTGCAAATTAACACTGCCATCTCAAGGTTTCTTTCAGTTTCCTTCCACGTGTATTCCCAATGTAGCTTTGCTGCTTAGATCAGAACTTCTCCTGATTAAAAATAGTAAACAAAAACAAGGACAGTGTAGAAAACATTGGAAAAGGTTGATACCAGCTGCAGTCACTTCAGCAGCCTGATTTATATTTAGTGGGGAAGCGTGCTGAAGGGGAGGTGAAGAGTTCAAAGTGAGATTCAACCTGGGTGCTTGGATCTTAATGTGAGCTGCTGGTAAAGGTTGAATTGGCCTTTACAAATAATGTGTGCAATGCTCTTCCCACTCTGTGCGCCAGTTTTCCAGTTTGCAGTTTATTATTCCTTCAGAAAAGTGATTTAGAAATAGTGGGACATGAGAGCCCCTAAACTTTTGACTGCATTTGGCTGTCTCCACTATTGCCTGTCACACTATACTGCAGAAAGTTCCAATAGCTTTTTACACCAGCTCTTCTGACTCCAGATTAGCTTCCCATGGTGTCCTATCTGCTGGGCCTCAATATTAAGAAGTTAAATATTTATATGTAGGGTGACCATATTTCCAAAAGAGAAATGAGACACTGTGGAGGGCTAATCTGAGCTGCTCACCTGAGCCCTGCCCTCACCACTGCCTGCCCACCATTCAAGGCTGGGGCTGGTGGTCATTTCTCACTCCAGCCTTGTCTACCCCCACCCAAGCCCACAGTCCCCCCTTCTACAGAGCTGACATTGCCACTACCCTCTGCATGTTCCTTTGCACCCCATTTTTCTTGTTACAAAATTGGTCATTTGTCCCATTTGCTCTGGCCAGCTGATCAGGTTGGCAAGAGCAAATGGGACAAATGACCTCTTTTGCCAGAAAAAGTGGGAACAGCTGGGACAAGGCTTAAAAAAGGGGCTGTCCCAGCCAAAACTGGATGTCTTGTCATCCTATTTATATGTCCACTACAATGTCTGAATGTCTCACCTCCCAAGTATTTATGAATTTTTTCCCACTGCACCCATGTGAGGCATGGGAATATTATCGTTCCCAATTCACAGATGAGGTTGCTGGAAGTGGGGGGGAGGAAGAGGGAGGAGGAGAAGGGACGACTGAATTCACATTGGTCTCAGTAGAAACTCAACCACAAGACCATCCTTTGTTCCCTAAGCCACTTTGAACTGGAAAACTTACAGGAATACACTTCGTTGGGAGATTTTCTCTCCTTTGCTTATGACAGGGTCAGAAAACAGGTTACTGTGGCATACTTAAATGATTCTGCTTTTGATATGTTAAGAACAAAAAATAAGTATTGAAATGCATTCAAATGTCAACATGTCTTGAAAGTCTGTTTCAATTTTTATTTTAGTTTCTTGCTTTGGAGATAAGTGGACATGAGAATATATTCCCTTCTCATTGTTGATTGCACCAAAAAACATTTCTTTTAAGTTAATGTTTCAATTAATAATCAACTTAAATGCTAGTTTTGTAATGCTATGAATTCAGAAAGATGGGAAGAGCAGCTTTTCTTTACTGCTGTTTTCCCTGCGACTAGTCCCTGCCAGGAATTACTGTTGACAACCGTTCCTAAAATGATGACATTTCCAGACACCACTTGCAGGATTCAGAGCTCTTTAAGGATGACCTGGAAGTACTATGTGTATCTACTATATGTATTAGTTTTTATCATTCACTTTTTTGGTGGGCCTAGCTTCATGCTCTGGCAGTTAGGAGGGGCTAACTTAGGTAAGCTAATTCTCTTGATCACATCATTACATTTTTCTGGCAAAGATTTAACAGCTTTAGTCATATCAGCAGCCTTTAAGCAAGGCTGTCTGCGAAGAGAGTGGCTGTATGGTATTGTAGGGATGTAATTTCCAGCTATGAGAAATATCATTTCCTTGGAGATATTTTTTTTCATTTTGGTATGAAGGCATTCTACAGTGAAGGGGTTAAGAATGCATAAGGGTGAGTCTTGTAGCTGAATTTATCTTGGTAACACGAGATGTTCATGGACGTGGAACACTCATACTACTGTCGTTATTCTTGTACTGGCTTCCACTCCAAGTCCTGACATGCTTGCTTACATACATGCTTCTTGGGTTTCACTGGGGGAAAAAGTTTGGGGGGATCTGGTGACAAACAGGCCTTGATCTCTTGGATGCAGTGCAGGGCAAAGTTGTTTATACTTCCCTTTTCCTTTTGCCATGATGGAATAATTGAAGGCATTTTTTCTTTCCCCTGTACTTTGCTGTAGACTTGTGCATTAATTAGCATTTAAAGTTCCCCTCTGAACAAAGCATCAAACAAAAAAGCAAAGAAACATGAGGATCCCATTTTTACTTTTATGATCTGATATATTCAAGAAACTAGGGAGAGTGTGGCAAAATCCTGCTTGTGCTTATGAAAGCTGGATAGACTATGGTGTTTAGCACAATAGGGGGAAGTGAAGTGACGTCGCTTTCTCTGAGGAGCTTGGTGAGGGATTGTGTCTCTTCCTCAAAGCTCCCCAGTTCCTGGTGGGAGTTGGCAGGTGGCACCATCTTTGAGCTAATGTGCGTGGGCTGCATGAAGAGAGCAGTTTCTAATCTCAAGTACAGGGGCTAAAATTTTTCCTGGCTGTTATAGGGATGGGCTCAAATCAAATCCGCAATCAGAACGATTTGCAGATTTGGGAGGTTTGGAATGTGAAGTCTCATCTGGAGCCAAATTGTACAGCTGGTTATAGAATGGGCTCCGGCTGTTCCAAAGACCTCTGAACCGAAAGGTATTCAAAATGTTGATCCAAATGTTGCAGTGCTGGTGGGCCCCAGTTTTGTGTAGTGGAAACTGACTCAGGCATGGTGCTCTGTCTCTCTCTGCTGGCTGGGCTGCATACAGAGATTGATGAGCTCGCTACAGAGTTGGCTAAGGGAACTGGGTCTTTTAGCTTAGGCCCAGGAGGCTCATGCACTTAGGTACAACCCCCTCTAGGAATGTCATCTTGCATTTGCTTATTGGTTAACATGCTGGTTAACATTTAGGAGCACAACCATAATAAAATACACTGCAGTATTACATTTGCCCCTATTAATGTCCAGCTACTCATCCATCCTGGGTCTTGGTGCTCATGAAGGATCCACATTAGAATAATCTAGGGTCCAGCTATTATAATGAAAGAGATAAAGTGTGAATTCATATGCATAGAGATTTATAACTTATTATATCATAACAATATCCTTCCTATCACTGTTTACCTACACTGGAATTTTGATGAATGGTTTCAGGGAAAATGTTTCATTCCTTCTTCCTTAGCCTCTTTGCACATTTCTTCA